ATATAATTCTTTCCATTTCCATGCCTTCCTACATTACCCTTCCCACCCCCCACCCCCACAAAAAGAAAGATGGCTGTATGTATCCTACAGCAGAATCTGCACAGCATAAAAAACCAGGAGATGAACTTAGCCACTCATCACCGTTACAACCACATCAAAGGTACAGGTAGGAAAAAACTAAAAAGAAAAAAAAATCGAGCAATTTTGTTTTGACAGCATAGTTAACTGTAGGTTTATCTACTTTGAAAACAATGGATTACATCACCGTTATATTTTGCTACAGAAATAAAAATAACTGTTTTGCAGGACAAATATCCTCATCTGGATGTTTTACGGTTTGCAAACCATTACTGTTATCAGGAGCTGGACTCCGCCATGTGTGTGCATCTTGGCTGTATGGGGTTGACTGGTCTCCACCTATTCAGTGGAGAATCACCAGCGGTGGCTTAACCAGCACTCTTGCCAGGTTAAATGGCCAAAGCAACATTCACTGTGATGCTCTTGGCATTAAACCTTAAGACAAATGAGAAACAGGCTTATATATTTAGTATCACCAACTATGGATGTTACAACAATGTCAATAGGATAAATGTCGTGCCAATTTATTATTTTAAGTGATGGCTGAGCTCCTTGAGAATCTTCAAGTAGTTATAAGTTTAGGGTTTGTCACAAAAATTTGCATGTGTACGTTCTAAAAGCAGACCGTATTTGGAATACTTTTAATTATATACACAGAATAACTTTCACAAGATACCAAGTTTAAAAACATATGGTATTTCCACTCATTGTCATACAAGTAACATGTTATCTCACTATTAGACTTCATTCGGAATATATCTTCAAAGGTATCACTGTCTGGGTACTGGTGGCTCATGCCTGTAATCCTAGCTACTCAGGAGGCTGAGATCTGATGATAGTGGTTCAAAGACAACCCAAGCAGGAAGGTCTGAGAAACTCGTCTCTCCAATCAATTAGCAAGAAGACAGAAGTGGTAATGTGGTTCAAGTGGTAGAGCTCCAGCCTGGAGCAAAAATGCTAAGTGACAGCACCATGGCCGGGAGTTTATACCCCAGTACCGGCTCATGTACAACACCCTCCCCTCCCCCACACATATCACACCGTTATTTACTGTCACAGAATTGAATTGTCTAACCTCGTTGCCATCTAAATTCTGATACAAAACTGCATTAATATTTATTTGCCTTTTTTAAAAGACAATTTCTCCATGAGTTTAGCAGATACATATTTTGAAAGAATCACAAGGCATTTAAAACATGGTGAGCAAAAACAAATGTGGATTTGAACATGTAATTGACTTAAGAAACTTTAGGTCAATTGACTTGGGCATGTTTTGATTTGTCTACCAGATGTTGCCACAATGCATTTTTACCCTCATTTAGAGAGGACCATAGAGCTGAATGAACATTCGTGCAAGAAGCAGAGAGTGTGTGCAAACACTTCACACACAACTCCCTCATTTTCAAATCCTTCCCTTATATTCCTGGCTACCGGCTTCTTGGAGCCCATCAATTCATATTCACAGGGTCCCTGGACACAGCTGAGCTGATGTCAGATCCACTTCTAGCCCCCACACTCTGGAAAAAACATTTACTCTCCATAAGCCTCAGTTTCTTTATCAGCAAAACGGGCCCAGTGATAATATTCCCTCAGAGAGTAATGTGAAGATAAGGAAGCTGTTCGAGTATCTGGAACGCTGCCTGGTAAGATGACTGGCTTAAGAAATGGCTCAAGGGCTGGGATGTAGCTCAGTGGCAAAGCGCTTGCCTAGCAAGTGCAACGTCCTGGGTTCGATCCCCAGTACCAAAAAAGAAAAGACAAAAAAAAAAAGAAATGGCTCAGAAACCTCCGTAGTGCCTGCTGAGCCCCAGGCCGGGGCAGGGTGTGTGCTTCGGTGTCCTTTGTCTAGAGAAACAGTTACAGGAAAAGTCTGAGACCAGGGAGTAGACAGTTAAGGGCCACCAGCATAGTTACCCTTTTTGGATAAGCTAGGACATCATGGAGGTGATGAAGTACAGCCGACGACCCCAAGGCTGGGGTCACAGTCACCTCTGCTTGGACTCCGACTGGGAAGAGACCCAGTCACCTTCAGAGCTTTATAAACCAGATCTCTTCCTTTCCTTCCCTCCCTTCCCTCCTTTCTTCCTTCTTTTCCTCCCCCTTTCCTTCTCTTTTCTTCCCTTTCCTTCCTTCCTTTTCTTTTCTTTCTGTCCTTCCTTCCTTCCTTTTCTCTTTCTCTCTCCTCTCCTGTCTTTCTCTTCCTCCCTCCCTTCCTTTCTCCTTCCCTCCTTTCCTTCCTTTCTTTTTTCCTTCCTTCCACCACTTAAGTCATGCTCCAACCTTTTCCACTTTAGTTATTTTTCAGAAAGGGTCTCCGCTGTTTTCCTAGGTAAATGAGAACCTCCTGCCTCTGCTACCCACGTAGCTAGGATCACAAGCAAACCACCTCACACCTGGCTCGCTGGTTCCCATGGGATCTTGCTATGCTATGGCTCAGGCTGAGCCCTCTTCCTAATCTACCTCCCAGTGGCTGGATTTCAGGCATGCAGCAGGTAAGGCCCAGCTCTCTAGGATGACTGGACCTGTTTGAGTTTCTCAGCCCACGAATGGTCCCTCCACTTGGAGTTCTACGTGTGACTCCTTCAAGAGGTGTGAATCTTTCCCTCGTACTCCAGATTCTTGTCCTATCTAATTATTGTTAATCACCTGGAACACTGGATTCTCGCTCTGTGTAAAGTTCAAGAGATTCTTAACTTGATCCTGACCTCCTCCACCACAGAAGAAAAGTCTAACCATGCTACTGCAGAAGTGCTTAGACCTGCAGATGTGAAAAGAATGGAATACTCCAGACAGACCCAGGAAAAATAATTGTCAAAATTGCTGTTTATTCTCAGTAACTCGGTCAGAGTAGCTATTTAACTGAGGCAGGTGTGTGTGTGTGTAGGGGGGCTGTTTGCTGATTTTAAAAGCTTTAAAAGGATAATGTCCCAAAGTTAAATAGCAACCACTACTACTACTACGCCCAGCTAGCTGAGAGGTAGTATATGTAGAGCACAGGGCTCCTCATAGTCTGAGATGCAGCTCTATCACATAATCACTGTAAGGTTCTGAGTGAGACACTTAAAGCTCTGTTTTTCCCTTTGCTTATCTATAATATAAGCAACCTGAAAGAACCTAGCTCACAGGGGTGTTAGGATTCACTGAATAATGTAAGGAAAGTGCCCGCCACAGTACCTAGCACATAATGGCACCTACTTCCTCAGAGTGTATGAGATATTTCTTATGATTGGTTTCTCTCTTGCTCTATACCCCCAATTAAAAAAGAAAGAAAATCTGAGATTTTGAAGGTGCCCTCCAGTACAGAACCTAATTGGTGTGTGTGGCAGAAATGTTTTATTTATTTTAGAGATAACTAGTTGCAGACTCAAAGTCATGTTGGTGAGCAATGGCTGAATTCTAATCTGAACCCAGGTCTTCAGGCTGGTAGCTTTGTGGCAGAGTGTAGTCTGGGTAACGGAGCAGAGTTAGTACTCCAGCTCTGGAAAAATATACCACCTTGAGGAGAGAAATCCCGAAAGGACACTGCAGAAATCCTCTCTTACACTCAATGGAAACAGAAGCATTTTGAAGTATACAATTCAGAAAAAAAAAAAAAAGGAAGTGTATACTGGGTGCTGGTGGCTTATGCCTATAATCCTAGCTACTTAGGAGGCTGCTATCTGAGGACTGAGGTTGGAAGCCAGCTCAGGTAGATAAATTGGAGACACTCTTATCCCCAAGTAATCAGCAAAAAGCTGGAATGGAGATGTGGCTCAAGTAGAAGAATGCCAGCTTTGAGCTAAAAAAGCTAATGGACAGCACCCAGGCCCTGGGTTCAAACCCCAGTACTAACATATACACACAGAGACACAGATACACACACACACACACACACAATTCTATTTGAGCCTGAAACCATCTTCTGTGACAGCTCTGACCTCAACACGGTTGCCTTACTTTCACCCTTACGCATAACCCACAAAATCAACAAACCTAGGAAGACTGATTTTTCTTGTCACATCTAGGCAAAATACCAAAAGCAAACAAGCATTCCAGAGAAAGGTGCATTCGCGCAGCAACGCCCCTCCAGCTAGAAACCTAGACCACGAGTGGCAAGCCAGGTGAGACACGCCTATTTATTTTCAATCCTGCTACTGGTAATTTGAGGATTATGTTAATCCTCCCGCCACCGCCATCTCAGGGTCATGTGCCTATCAGCAGAAGGGGTTCAGTTTGGGGCAAGGTTAATGAAGATGCCTTAGAGCGATTACTTGGAGAGAAAAAAAATAAAACATCATTTCATAGTTTCATTTGAGGGAATCATTCCTGCCAGCATCCTTCTTGATTTTTCTTTCTTTTTGCTCACCACAGAGAGAAACGCGTAGAGGTTCGGTTTGATTTATGGAGGGAAAGACAACCCTGCATGTCCTTTTTTGTTTCTTCTTCCGGCTGGGGGAGGGGCGCGGGTGGAAGGAGGAAAGGTCAGGCAGCTGGTTTCGGGTTTCCCCTGTTGAGCTGCGTGTGCAGCCTCTGCTCCTGGCTGCAGATCTGTCGGGCCGCACGTGTCACAGCCCCGTCCTCGAGCTGCTCCTGCCAGATGGGCAATCAAAGCCTCCAGGAAAGCTTTTTTTCCCCCATTGGCGCCTGTGTTATTATGTGTTGTCACCAATGGTTTCTCGGTTTTTCTGTAAATTGCTGCATACACTGTGGTTTGGCCATGCCAAGACCTACTCGCTGTACAGAGCCAGGGCCTCCCTGGTGAGCACTCCCCGGGCCAGGCCGGCTTTGGTGGGTGAGGGCGGTGGGGAGGTGGAGTCCACGGAGAGAGACATCAGAAAGGACAAAGAGCACAGAACGCGGGGCAGCCAGGGTGCGGGGACCCCTCTGTCCCGGGGGGCCTTCCCACTCAGCTCAGCGCAAGGAGAACGAGGCGCCACACCTACCTGGTCTGTCTTCATTTTGGGAATCACATCGTCGGCAGAGTTCGGGGATGGTCTTGAGCGACGTGACTGAATACTGAATGAGAAAAAACCAGAGGAGAAAGGCTGTAAAGCAACAACTCAAAATGGGGAGCACTGAATGGGGGGGGGCAGGAACGCTGATGCCGCGCACTCAGAATCCGACATCTAGACTGGAAACCCCTTTGGTACAACTACTGAAACATCTAAAAAAAATAAATAGAATGAAAGCTCACACTCCAATCGCCAGCCAAAAGGCACACCCAAAAGTAGGCTAGCTCACCCACCCTCGTGGGATTCCAGCAGTCTGGCAGCCTGCTCTCTTCTGCCTATGAGCATGGAGGCAGTCACAGAGACCTTGAACACGGTGGGGGTGTTAGGCAGCACAGTTCCGTCTCTCTGGGGAAAGTTGGAACGATCTGGCCTTGAGCATTTACTGAAGATGGCCAAGGTCTTGGCATAATAGAACCCTAAGGGCCAGTTTTATGCGTCAAAGTCAACCAAGGGAGCACGGAGCTTCTGCAGCTCCAGGTAAGTGAGGGGGTATGATTGCAGGGATGCTCACTGACTGCAAAAGCCCCCCACGGTCGCCCCAGAGGCCGGTTTTACTGCATGGGCCCCTGGAGGCTCCACAGGAAATACCAGGGTGATGACATCACCAGGGAGGGGAGCCGGGGTCTGTGTTTGAAAGCTCATCTGTTTCGTGTATAGATTGGTTTGAAAGGAGAGAAAGCACCTTTCAGTGTCCCAGTGCCAATTCGGGCACTGGCTCTCAGGATAACAAATTATGACACCAGGTGGCACAAAATCCGAAGCGCTCAAACAAATGTAAAATCAATGGCGATGATTTATGGGAACTACATCTGATACCGATCAATCTTTCTTTCGAGAAGGGTGTTTTAAGACAAAATAAATAGGATGAGCTCTTTCTTTAATCGAAGGCAAAGTCAGGGACTGTCTTCAATCATGCTCATATTTTAATTGGCAAAACGCGGTTTGGTTAAAGGGAAAAAAACCCCACTTTTCTCTCTACGACTAAATAAATAAGCATGTACCATGAATTACTTCTCCAATGCAAATTGTTTCTTTTGGGGGGTGGGCAGGGATTGAGAAAATATTTACTTGAAAAGAAAAATGAAAAGAGAATAGACATTAGGATTATTCCAGCATCGCAGAAGAGGGCTGTGTAATTAGAACGCGTTTTTCAATACGAAGGTTCTGGAGCGGTCTTCGCATCGATAGATGATAGATGGAGCTTCGCCTTGCAGCCACAGGACAGCGGCCCAGCGGGGCCAGCGTGGGGGTGGAGGGAGCTACTGTCAGCTTGCCGAACTGCACACACCCGTGTCCAGCGTTCCTGAGTGAAAAACTAAACAAGATCTCTCCTGACTAATTAGAGAAATTACCTTTACCTATCTGATGCAATACCGTTCTGTTTTTCTGGGCCATTCCTCAGAGACTACAGGTGCTCTAGGAAATCCACTGACTGGGCTGAGAGAGGGATGGCTGTCTCTCAAACCAAAAATGAACCCCAGCTGACTTTTCCTTCCACATTATGTTCGTGCAAGGTCAGGGAGGACACAGGTGAAAAAGGCATCTTTCTTGGTACCACTAAGTGACGTCACGCTTCTAGCCACATACAAGCTCTCTAAGGGATCCGGTAGCTTCCTGAGACCAGCTGGTACATGTTAAATAATTACACAGTCCGCCATTCAATTAAAATCGGGGACTCTTGTTTTGCTTGTTGTATACACCCTTTGGCAAAGTCTAATCCTCCCTCCTTTTCTCCCCCAACCCTCACTTTTCTTCCAAGACCCAATTTTAGAAAGGCAATTTCAGAGGATGTTTCAATATAGTTCATGATAGATGCCACGTTGGCTGGAGATACAGCTGATTTAAATGGGTGGGCGGTTACCTATAATTTCCAGAGCATATATCCTACTCCCAATCCAAAGGCAGACACACGAGGGTCTCTGATTTGTTCAGCATACTTTCAGGTCTTGGCATTTGACCACAGAGGTCCAGAGTTTTCCTTGGATGAGGTTTGTGTTTGAGCCGCACGGCTCCCTACGGCGTGAGGGGAACCACCGAGTGTGCCGTTGGGAGCCGCACCTCTTTTATAAAGAGATACTTGGACTTTTCGAATCATAGGCATGTAAAGGAACAAAATCACCTTTAAGAAAAAGTTACGTGTTGCTCCTGGGAATAGAAGTAGAGTGGCCAAAGGTAAAGATGATGTGTTGGTCAGGAAATGACAGTTGTGAATACATTTAAGGATGTATGGAATGGGCTGAGAAGGTGGCCCAGTGGTAGAGTGCTTGCCTCCCATGCATGAGGCCCTGGGTTCGATTCCTCAACACCATATAAGCAGAAAAAAACGGAAGTGGTGCTGTGGCTCAAGTGGTAGAGCGCTACCTTGAGCTGAAGAGCTGAGGGACAGCGCCCAGGCCCAGAGTTCAAGCCCCACGACCGACCAAAAAAAAATATGGAATGCCCCCATTCAACAGAAACCCAATCTCTGGGCAAATCCATCATTATTTGTAAAGGCACCAAAAAAGAAAGGAGCAACGTGTCGATTTGTTTCAATAAGTACGAACACTGTATCAGGACAGAAGGTAAGCCTTAAGGAACGGCCACAGAGCAGAGCAAGCTGTCAAGTGAGGAAATGCATAGGAAAGAAGCCAGAAAACATTCTGGAAACTCGTTTTCTTATTTGAAGACTGGGGAGTAAGCACGTGACCCAGGAAGTCTCCTTTGCGAGATTCTACCATCTGGAAGCTGGAATAAAAGACCTTCCACCCAATTTACAGAGCTGTCAGGGTGCCACCTTACCTCATTCCCAGGACACCAGCCAGCAGCAAGTCCTGTTGCTTCAGCCTATCAGAACCAAAGCCCAGCGCCTCTGTCCCGCCTTGGGCCTCCCAATGAAAAGGCGTAGTTAGTTCCCTGGGTTCCTATTATCCTTGGTGATGAGAAAAGAGAGGACCTGCAGCTACTTGAAAAGCTTTATATTATACTCCCTTTTCACGACAGTACTCTAATACATTCCTTTTATCTAATTCCTCAAGAGATGATGCCTGTAGAATCCAGAGGAATTCCCTCACTTTTCTCTACCACATCTCAGGAGGAAGCCTACCATGAAAGCCTGAGTAGTCCTCCAGCTTCTCCATGTCCCAGCGCAGCCAAAGTGTAACTGATTCTTTTGTTCTTTGACTCTGAGTTCACCTGGGCTGCAAGGTTTTTCTCAAGCCACACAAATAGGCCAGCTTGTGTTTTGCTTTCTCCACCCAGCCCTGGCTGACGGTTCATTCTAACAGGCCTTTCTCTTTCCAGCCTTCAGTAAATACCACCTTGTCTTCTGGTTGTTCCTTTTCTGCGAGTGTTGGCTCCCATAAGCAATGAAGAGGAAAAATATCTTTGATTTGTGTATAGATGATGCACATAGGACTGACTAACTGTTTGAACGACTGCACCCACATGTGCATACGTTTTACTACATCCTGCTCCTGGAGCTATCGATGTTCAAAGGAGCTTTTTCATGTTTAAGTAAAAACATGGGAATTTCTTCCAAGTCCTCACATTGACACTAGAATAATTCACTTTATAAAATGCAAATTTGACATAAGTTCCTCTTTTGTTGCAAATCCTTTAGTGGCTCGGAAAAGCCTACGGGACAAAGCCTGCGTGGCCTGGCTTGGAAGGAGCTCATACCTCTCTCCCTTTTATGCCCTTCTCTTTGAATGCATAATAACAAATACCTTGAGTCCCCCTGCCTGCGTATATCTTTATGTATGCCTTCCACCTGCCTACAATGATATCCTGCCCAGTTCAATAGGTAAACTCCTTTGAATTCTTCAAACTTTGCCTGGGGAACATTTCTACGGTATCATCTCTGACTCTCCCAGATGGAAATAACACTTCAGATTTCCCATCTGTGGTCCTTGGAGCAGTGGATCAGCATCATCCAGGAATGTGCTGGGAATTCAAATTCTTGGGAGCCATCCCAGAGCTACTGAGTTAGGAAATCCGAATATGGGCACACTCAGGAGATTCTAATGTGTAAGGTTGCTGAAAGATCGCTGCTGGGTAGTATTTCCTTCTACTACAGAATCTAGCCTATTACATTTCTTCTATATGTTTATATAAACATTTTGATTGGTTCCTGTGTAGGTGGACAATATTTTATTTATATAAGAAACTAGGAAGTTACTAAGCTGAATTAAATGACTTAAGTGATTAGTTTGTACCTATGGAGCACTCAGTACAGACTGTAATTTAAAATCTAGCAATGTAATCATGGTGTACTTAAAAGGAAACAACACTAATGTAATTCTAGCAGGAGGACTTGCTGATGCCTTCGCCTTTTATATAAAGGACAAAGGAGGAGCCAGAGATCTGGATCTAAGTTGTAGCTCTGTGGCTCTAGGTAAAGAAATCATTTCAGGTCTTCGGTGCCCAGTTTTCTTATCTATACAATAGAGATAATTACATGAGATAAGGAAGGTGAAGCCATTTTGCAAACTGTGAAGTTCTGTTAAGTAAGCCTTTTGCCTCTTCTCCCTAACCTGTTTTCCTCAAGTGTGTCGTGTGTCGAGTGCCCTCCCTCCTCACCTTGATTTCTGTCAGGATCATAAGCTCCCAAGATCAAGACATCAGATAGAAAGAGCTGGGAAGGGAGGGGCACAGCTGGGAAGGGAAGGGAAGGGAGGAGAAGGGAAGGAAAGGGAAGAGGGCTCAGCACCCCCAGCACGTCATCTGACTGCTCGTTCTTCTTTCCTCACCCAAGAGAGTTGGTGACGGAGGGCCGGGTCTAAACACAGCTTCCTTCACAAGCCACACAGTTGATACAACGCAAGAGCTTCTCCTCAGCCGGCCCCCCGCCAGGTCTGTCAGCCTGCCATGCAGAACACTGAACATGCACAGGATCTATAATGACAGGGCGTGATTTCCACACTGTGCTCCTAGACATGTTCCAGGCCTGGAGGCTCTGGCACTTATTCCTGAAACCTGGAGCCAGCTGGGAGAACCGGCAGACATGACTCAAATGGTCATGAGCCA